CGAGGTGTGAAAACAATCCAAGGGTCATTCTCGATGTCCTGGTGCAGCTTGAGGAGGGAGTGGAGTGCGGTGTTGATTGCTCGATCGCTTATCTGAACCCCAGCATATCCAGCTCCACGGATCCGCACTTGCAATGATTGCCACAAGCGTTGACCATCCCGCGTCTGCTGTGAATCCATGGAAAAACAGAGGTGTCCAGGGATTCCAAGCCATGTCTGCACGTGCCGCAAGAACGTACCTGCTGGAATCGGCCTGCTGACTGTTCGCCCCTGCTGCGAATGGACTGTAAGCTCCACGTGATCCTGGATCTGGCGGCGTTGTCGCTTGAATGTGATCCCGACTTCGTAGATGACGTCTTGATGCGCCTGGAAGAAGGGAGGTAGGGCCACTCCGTTGGAGAAGATCTGGACGTTGGCTCCGTGTCCCTGCAGGTCCTTCTCAGCGGCAATGATTTCCCGGATCGTTGTGGGCTGACAAACCATGGAAAAAGAAAGCACATCTTCATGAGCGAAAGTGAGCTTCCGAGTGAAGAACATGCTCTCCGTGACCCATAGGTTGTGCGCCTCCTGGATGACTCGATTGAGCCAAGACTGGATGCACTCTTCCGGGGTTTGTGCTTGTCGATCTGTGCCCTGGCGTGCCCCCTGGATCACATGTGCTGCCACCCAGGCGCTCTGTAGCGGCGTAGCCATCTGTCCCAACATGCAGAGTGCTGCTCGAGGTGGTTGGATCATCTTGAAGCTGGCTGGGATTGCGTTCCAAAAGCACACCTCTCCGGGATGCGGGAAACGCTTCAGTCCTGTGTGCTTCGAATTGATGCCGAATCCCCGAAGTCCGCCATGCTGCAACCAATCGTCTGAAAAAGCCTTTGCTCTGCATCCACAAGGGCAATGCTTGAGCGCGACTCCCCAGGAGTGAACCGCCGTTGGAACCTTGCTCCAGTAATCAAAATCTCTGCTGTCGTTGCCATACCTGCGGTCCTGATAGTGCTGCAACTGAGATTCCTCATCTGGCGTCCAGATCGGCCAGTCCTTCATGAAATGACCGGGAAGTGGATCAGGGCTGATCTTGTTCCAGGCTTTGAGTCCTTGTTGAAGGAGAGCCTTGGGCATAATAAGTGCCCACCACCTCTTGCGACGGCTGACCCATCGATCTGCAAGATCAAGTACTACGTCATGTAGCGTAAACTGCGTAGCCTCCATGAACTTCTTGAGCTGTGTGGCCACTGGCCTGGAGTTGCGGGCTTCTGGCACGCATTCGAGAAGCAGACCAGTTGAGCCCAACCTCCATGCGGCAAGAAGCAATGCCGGTAGTGTATCAAAGCGGGGGTCACCATCTTCGCGTTGACGCCCTTGGCGTGAAAATGGCTGGCATGGAAAGCCTGCTAGACCCACGAACTTCTTGCCACCGGTGATGGCGTGAATCTTCCTGACCGTCTCAAGCTCCTTGATGTCGCCCTTGATGATCGGCGCCGAGCTGTTGAGCCTAGCCGCTGCACATGCCAGCCAGTTCCGATCTGTGTGCCCAAGGATCTGCATGCCAGCATGTGCCGCGCCCCATCCGAGAGCCCCGATGCCGGAGCAGAAATCCCACGCCTTCTCAAAGTCGCGAGCGCCCTCCGAGATGTGCGGGTAGGCCGAAGCATCCTTGCCCAGCGTGAACAACTGAAGGCCACCGAAGGAACCCACATTCGTGATGCCATAAAGCGTCCAAACCTCTCTGATCAAGCCGAAGGAGCAATCCACAAGGAAATCCTGAAGCGGCGACAACCCATGCAACCGCGTGAGGCCCTCCTCCCAATGCTCCAGCACGACCGCCACCAAGGTACCGGAGCCACCGACCACCGTCGGCAAAGCCGGGTCCATGGCGGACCAGAAAAGAGAACGGTCCCTCGGCGTTCCGTGGTGAACGGCGCCACCTCTGGAAGGCACTCGAGCCAGCGCTTGACCATGTCCTTTTAAAAGGGAACCCTTTGATAATTCCATGTTAGTGGACGGGAGCGTATTGCCAATACCCCAGCCACAAACCACGTCTGAACTTAAAGGACTTTTCTTGTTCCCTTAGCCAGGGCGTGCGCATGTTCAACGCACTTAGGTTTGACAGTCCTACAAACAGTTTCCAGTCTCAAGTCTTAATCAATTAACCAACGGTTGTGGCTGCCCTGTCATTTCGAGACCAAACGACACGTCAACTTTGACTCTGGAAGCCTGAGCGATCCAAACCAAAGAATCCAGAAATGGGACACCCCGCAAGAATACACTCTGAAGGCTTGTTCATCCTGACTTCCCATTTCTGGGATGATCGTGTTGGGGGGTCTCTGCAAGGGTTCCCAGCGTCGGCGGCGGTATCTTTGCCAGCTGCCTGTGCCTCCCAGTGTTCAGCAGGGGAGGCCATGCAAGTGCCGCTAAGGAGACCTCACGCCCTGCGATTGGAATCGCAAGGTCCCAACCCGGCGCCCGCAAAGCCAGCCTTTCTCATGTACTCCTCTAACTGCCCTCGGCAAGCGAGGGGCAGTGGGCCGTCCAAATACTAGTGGGCTACACAGGGGGTCTGGAAAAACGTGTCCCACCTTTGGGTTCCTTCAGCTAACTCTACCATTTTCAGGATATTCAGCAGCCACAGAATGGAGGCCAAACAGCCGAACAAATCGCAGGTAGAGCTGATGTTTGTTTGGCCCCTAGAGCTGGTGCTTTACTAGACCTATGGTTGTTCATTGGATCGGATGCAGTTGAGAGTTGCTCGGTTTAGGCTGGCTGAGATATCATTGAGGGCAGGTCTTGGGTTGGTGTGGGGCGGACGTGGGCTAGGCAAAGGGGTGATATCCAGGCTGCTGGTGGGTGGCTTTGGTTTTGGGTGGGTTTGGATTGGCAGGGAGCTGATTTGTGCTAGGTGTGCGGCTGGTTTCGCAGTGGTTTGAGGGTTGCTTTAGGGTGCGGAAGTGGTGGTGTCCACTCCGATTCAAGAACCTCTGAATTTAAGTCCTTAGAGCAGAACCCAGCGACCCTGGAACCCGTGGACATGAAAAGCATTAGACAAAAGCTTGGTTGCCACCAATTCAGTGATTCAGTAAAGCAGGTATGGTTACCTCTAGGTTTTACATCATGCCTGGTTACCTATAGTGGTAACTGGATGCACTGGGTAAAATTATCTTCCCAAGCTCAGAAGTTTAGGAGCTCAGAAGGGTCAGGCTGTTCCACCCCATTCTTCCCATGGTTAACCCAACTATGATGAAAATCCTTAGGTAAACAATGGCCAATACAAACCCCCACTATTGACAAGGTGTGGCTCATTTGCAGCCTCTTCGATCCTTTAACCTCTGGCCCCTTAGCCAATTGAACTGGAAACCGGAAGAACCTCGGGCCTTGCCTTTGTTAGCCGCTTCTGGGCAATAAGACTTCAATTGGCGTCAGCAGATTTTTTTGGTGTTGAGTTCAAAAGGGAAACTTGTTCATCCTGAGGTTTACTAATTGCACTAACATTCCTGGCGGTTTTAATCTCAGGGGTGAGAAGCTCAGCCGGAAGCCAAACTCGAGCGACCTCTGCGACCCCTGCGGCTCTTCTCATTCAGCTCATGGTGTGACTCGTGCGCGTGGCTCAGCTCCTGGATCCGCCGCGAGCTGAGACAAAGCTCCAGCGTAAGCCAGGACATCTTGCTTATCTACATATGTGTATGTATATCTATATCTATCCATATATATATATATATGCATGTTATATATGTGATGTGTCGGTCACATCATTATTGATGGTGGAATTCACTTGCCATTGTTCGTCATATAGTCGATGGTTGAAAGTATCATCCTGTAGATGGTACAGGCCTTTGCCTTGCCCAAGTGCTCACTGATCTTGGTGGACAAGGATGACCATGTTTCAAGGGGGTCGCCGAGCAAACGAGAAAACAGGTGGACTCCTTGTGGCCTTTAGCATGTCGACACGAAGGTTCCCTCGGGGGTTCGCCCGATTTTTCCCTGGGGCTCCCTCCATCTTCGCCTGAAGATACCTGGGCATATCTCTACATTCTCACCCTAAGTTGGGAACCTGTTTGAAACACGCCCATCCCCTTTTGGTCTCCTTCTGGGAACATGACATATTCTGGGCCGCTGATCGCACCCAGCCCATCAAGAAAAAATGCCTCCTAGGGGACGAATGGAAGTGGAAGGGTGCCATGTTTCTTGTTGGGGCCTGGTATTCTGGAAAGAACCCACCAAAACAAAAAAGGAATCAAATATGCTTTTCCGGCCACGGTGGAGGGAACCAGTATTCAGTGAATCTAAACTGATGTTCGCAGAGTTTTCGGAGTTCAACTTGGTGGGCGTTCGCTCTTGCACACAAGGTTTTTTTGTTGCTCCCGCATCGCTACGCTTGGGATGCCAGTCTGAAACGAGCAAGTGGATTCACTTGTTGCTGGCTAATTGGGAAGTATATGGGGGAAATACAAATTGTCCCAACCAGTTTGCTTATGGGTACAAATCCAACCAAGCAGCAGCCACATCAGCAAACATTCCTTTTTGAAGCCCGAGCGCATATGAAGGCGTGCAGGCACTGTTCCGTCTCTGTGGACACTTCCTACTGACATGGGAGGTTCTCCGAATGTTGGAAAGAAAGTCACGGGCTATGTATTTTTGAGGGTGCTATTTTGGGGGGTTTGCTTTAAAGCCAAAAGGACACCCAGTCATTTTGAGGATTTCCTCTATTTTGCGGCACCCCGATTCGAGTAACTAGGCACAATTGACAACTCCCAAAGACTTTCGCATGGCTCCATGTGGGTGCCTCCCCTCCCCTGAATGATTGCAATTTAGATTCTCTTATTTCAGGTGTTCCTTACCAGTTTCTGGCTGGCTGTCAGTTGCCCACAAACTAGTCAACTCTCTGGACTGGTGGTTCGGTGGTTCCCTGACCCCTTGCTAAAGTAAGACTTGTAGTGGGGTATGTCCTAAATCCCTCCGAACTCAGAATAGCTAGCAGTCAAAGGGTAGGCCCATGTCTGGTTTATCTCTTCTTTTCTGGGGACACGCCCATGTCAGATCGGGACTCGGCCGGCTCAGCCTTTACTCGGCTCCGATTTCTCGGCTTCAGCACTCTCGCCGGGAGTTGCACGGAGCAGACTATCCTTGGCGCTGGCATCACTGGGTCCAAAGTGAACATTTCTGGGTTGGATGAGCAGTTCTAATTCTACTTACTTCTGGTGGTTGCTTCCCTCAAAGCTGGGGGATTCACGAAACACCGGGTGAAGTTGAGGCTACTTACCCTCCTCAAACAAATAACGCTATTCAAAAGCAGCATCTGACATGAGGTCTGTTAGCACCAGGGCAAGGGAGGGACTAGTCCGTTCCCCCCGGCCTACGGGGTGCTCCAAAGACCCTGGCGAAGAAACCTGGGCCCTGCAAAAGGGCCTGCCTACTTGTTCTACCTTTGTGGTCTTCCTTAGCTTCGACGCCTCAAAACGCTGTCCACAAATATGCGACGCCGACAGGACCATGGAGAAAACAAATGAACCCCTACAACACGTCAGGGAGTTCCTAGTAATTCTCGCCATTGACCCTGTTTTGGACGCAAACACCCGCAACTTACCGCAACCGCCTTGAAGAAGGAAACGCCCGAAAATTAACGCAATACGCCCGCAAAAAGAGGCAACTGCCGGCCCGCAAACAAAGCGCAACACAACCGCCTAAAAAGCCTTGAGAGCCAGAACGCCTAGGAACTCCGCGGCAGTGGAATGTCCAGGATGAATCATTCTGTTTGGCAACTGCAACTCCCAGGTCGCTCGTCGCGAAATGCCCGAGATCCAACTGGCGTGAGCCGCTTGATAACCACTACAAGGGTTCCAGTAGAAGGATACTTCGCATCCTCCAAATCAGCTGGTCAATTTGATTTGTGACTGGCTCTAGTGTATCGTTAAGACTTTAAGATTTGAGGGACCCAGAACAAGCGACCACAAGGATGCTTCATTAGGCGAAATCAAGGATCACAGCGATAGGGCAAAAGGTGCACCTGCTGTCCAACCAATGCGCTGCAACCAGTGACCCGTTCAATAGAAAAAGAGGCATGGGAACATATCGATTCGGGGTTGCCGTGTTTGGCGGTTGCGTAAATTGAACAAGTTCGACGAAATCTGCGCCGGAAACTCCTGCGGATCATGGTCATGGTTCTCAAGAGCTGTCTAGCTCCCCTAGCAAGGGGGTTGCAGACCACATAGCCCAACCCCAAGTAAAAGAACCACACTCCTCAGAAGCCCAGTGGGCATGGGAAAAGGGGGCGTGAAATTTGAGCACGGCGACTCATTGATTAGTCAATATTAAGACATGAAATCAGGTCGGCACATCAGACCCCAGAAACGTATCAGCCAATTTAGGAAACAAAACAAACACACCTGAAACAAGAATTGGAATCCTAAGGAAAGAACAGTAATCAGTCTCTTTTTTGCCCATTTCGGCCGCATCGGTTTTCCACCGCTCGATCCAATGAATCCAAAGTTCTGCACCAGGCATACCCTGCTGAATCATCTCCTCCCTCTTCTGGGACACACGCTCCAGAAGGGCCGGGATGTCTGTGTTCAGGGCTTCCTGGAACTCAAAGCCAGAAAGGAAACACAGGAGGTCACTCACTTTAGAATATGCTTTGTGACTGGACTGATTGAACTTGTGGCTATAGAACATGAGTTTCAAGCTGTTGAACTGTTTGACTGCCACTGATTTGGTCAAAAAGTGACTCCAGTCCATAGATTGAGCTCAGAACCCCCTTGCACTCCACACACCTTTGTGACTTCCAGACAGATCTTTTAAACATGTGACCCGAAGGGACCTGTCGATGGCAGCTTCCCCAAAAAAAACAAGAATCGGCTCGCCTCGGCTTGCTGGATCAGCTCGGCCGGCACATGCTGAATCATCTCATCACCGAACTTCAAGTAGGTTTCTGTCCTAAGATCAACGTCCAAAACCCCGGCCATCGAGCTGCCTTCCTACTTCACCCAAAAAAAGACAGAAAGGTCAGAACGCCTGCAAAGAATAAGTTTGGGGGTCAAATCTGGAAGAAAAGGCAAAGCTAGCCACATCCCCATTTGGGGACCTTGGGCCCTCCATCCCTTGGCCCGAATCGTCTCAAAATGGGCGGAATCTCTTCTTGGACGAAAGTGTTAAGGGGAAAGCAAAAGAAGCCAACCACCCGAACACCAAACAAATTGCAAAATGCTTGATTCTTCTCCAAATTAACTTTCCCATCAACATGCAATGCGACTGGAGATGCTTGGAGGACCCTGTTCCTCTTCCAGAGGCCTTCTGGTGGATTCCGTGGCGACGGTGGGAGGGTAGTTGGTGAACCTTATGTAATTTTGACGGTGGGAATAAGGAACGGAATGACCACAAACTAAACTATCCAACTCAGGGGTTCAAGGGAATCCCCAACGAATTCCCGACTGAGACCGAGCAAGTTCTGAAGGAGGCAAAGAAAGTCGTTGTTTTTAGAGATACCTTCTTTTTGGAACCCGATTTCTGGGCCTTCTGTTAATTTACGCGGTAGGTAGTGAACCTGACAATTCAAAATTGCAGTTCCAATTTTGGGAAACACCCCCGGGAAACTCTCCGACGTAGAGAGGGGTCACCCCTGAAAAGTCAGTCAGTAGGCAAGGAGCATGCTCTCCGCTGGAAGGAAGTCTTGCAGCGAAACGCCATGCGTCTGGCAAGAGCCAGGCTTGTTCTTGGTTGGTTGTCTAAAACAGGCAAAGTCCGTCCCTGCAAAACCTGAAGAAAAGCCACTAGCATCTGGCAGGAACAAAGATTAAATTTGAACAACCCAGCATGCTGTTTGACCAGATTCGGGTTGCAAAGAGTCTTCGCGGTCCAGTGGTAGCGTGACGAAGTCAATGGCAAACTCTGAGACAAACCCATATGTATAGACACACCCACACAATACGAAAGGCGCAACCTCAAAATGGCAAGCATACGGTTTTGCAGCGCACATGATGCACTCCCATCAAGCCAAAGATCAGCAGGAGCAAATATTTGGACTCACCATTTCGCCCCTGCCGATGTGAAAATCTGAGTTAGGGCCTCCAAAATTGACCTTCCCCACAAAGCACCCCAAACCCGGGCTGACTTGTGGTTCTAGCTAGGAGGCCAAGCTTAACCCGACCCCATGAAGCCGGTACCAACGACCAAAATGGCCAATCATGTTTTGGGGTCGCTGCTCAAATGGCAGGTGATGAACCATGTTTGACCCAAGCAGGACATGCGCACCGGGAAACACAAATCACGCCTGCGCCACGTGGGTGCATGCAGCTGCCAACTTTGCCTGATAGCTTGCAGGCGTCACATCCAGCTACCAGGTCCGCGCACCCTCCCGTTCAAAATGAGAGCTGGTTTCAATCTGGTGGCAAAACTCGTACCTGTTCGCGGGAAAAACAACTTGATTCCCAAAAGGTTCCGTTTAAACTGAATTGCCCTTCCTCCAGGTTGTTTGACCTTTAGCAGGCAGAATGGAAAAGCCATTTGTTTCCAAACATCTAAGGTCAAATCAAATGCCTGTCATGCGATTCTTGGCCGGGTCCCTTCACAAAGTTACTTTTGGGAGGGACAACGCGTGGGCATAATTGTCAAGCCTATGCGAAACCCAAAAGCGGTTGTGTCTCATTTTGTTTGAGGGTAGGGGGAACCCATCTTGAATCCTGAACCTACAAGTTCCGCGTCTTTTCGGGTGGAACGCATGATGTGGGGCCTTGCCCCATCTCCGGCCCTGGGGGGGGGGGTAGAACAGCACCCTCCATAGTGGCCTTTTGGAAAAATAGATGCTCCTGGTAAATAGAATAAACCCCATCTAAACCAGTGCCATCTATCTTTTAACCAAACTAAGCCAAAAAGGACATGTATGATACCCTCCCCTTCCTTTGTCCACTCCCGGCCGGGTCTGCGATGGTCTCCCGCAGCACCCGCCGGCCACGCAAAAAGCCACGGAGAGTGAGCCTGCGCCGGGTGGATGCCCCAAGTACTGCAAGTGAAATGGGGGCCACCCTGTAAACTTGAACGCATAAACACAAGCAACTGGAGTCCAAAAAAACACTGAAAAAACCTGGTTCTGCCTGAGGATTGTCTTTTTGCGTATTTTTTTAAACAATGGCTGTACGGAAAATTTCGGCTTCTGTTTTATGTGTTGATTTCTCTGCTTTGATACGGGTCCAAATTCGAAAAACCAGGTCGTTTGGCTCTGGCCTGCTTTATTCCAGGTTTTAGTAGCCTAAGGTTGTGGTTGACCTTTGTTTGCAATAGTTTGGGCACCCCGCCAACTTGTGTTACTCACTTCCGAGGTTGTCAAAACAAGTAACCACGCTGTTCGCCAAAGTACAGACGGCACGACTGAGAAACACAGAAATGCTCACGTCATCTCCAAACTGTTTGCTTGCCACTTGCTTTCGCCACCAAACTGATTGAAACATCTACTTCCACTGTCCGACTGGGCGTGGGCTGCTTGCTTCTCGTCCAGGGCGCAGGTAGCTGGTGAGCAGCGCGTGACATCGCAGCAGCCGGCCCCGGCGCAGCAGGTCGTTGACCTGCCAGGTGCCGGGTGCCCGTGATTGAAGTGAAGATATTGGGAGCATACAGGAGCAATTGGCGTTCAGGGCACAATTGAGCTGGGGGAATTCATCTGCAAGTAGCAACTACTTGGTTTATGGATTGGCTCAATCCACCTGGGGGAATTCATCTGCAAGTGGTAATCTCTTAGTTTACGGATTGCTTCCCCAGTCTCACCCATCCTTCTGTTCAGAAACCACCCCTTCCCCTGCGTGTTGAGCAATGCTTCCAAAGAAACGGAGCTACGGCTACACTTACCCACAGCCCCCGAGGTTTGCCGTCACCCCCTAATCCACGCTTGTCCTGCCCATGCCCAGGTGACTCGAGTTCCTGCAGCACGTGGTTCAAGTATGGCACCCTTTACTAGTCAAGTAGCAGAACTCGTGCAGCCATATTTGACACGTGGTGACCTCCGTTCTCTTCAGAACGTAGGGCCGTGGTACCGCGAGGGCGTGGGTGGCAGGCAGGTTCAGGGTTTTAGGTTTAGGGTTTCGGTTTCGGTTTGGGGCTTTATGGTTTTTAGGGTTTAGGTTTAGGGTTTTACGGTTGTTGGGATTTAGGTTTAGGGTCTTTAGGGTTTAGGTTTTAGGTTTTTAGGGTTTAGGTTTAGGGCTTTTAGGTGTAGAATTTTTGGGGCTTAGGTTTAGGGTTTTTAGGGTTCAGGTTTAGGGTTTTTAGGGTTTAGGTTTAGGGTTTTTAGGTTTAGGGTTTTTAGGGCTTAGGTTTAGGGCTTTCAGTGTTTAGGTTTAGGGTTTTAAGGGTTAGGTTTAGGGTTGTTAAAGTTTAGGTTTGGTTTTTAGGGTTAGGTTTAGGGTTTTTAGGCTTAGGTTTAGGGCTTTCAGTGTTTAGGTTTAGGGTTTTTAGGGTTAGGTTTAGGGTTTTTATGGTTTAGCTGCGCTTGGCTTTACGAATCGTGACAAAGTAACAGCAGTGGCAGCGCAGACAAAATGCTTCAGGCGGGTCGGAGCTTCGTGATCTCCCGGTCTTGGTGTTGGGGCGTTGGTTCCGGGCGCCGGCAAACCTCAGGGGCTGGCCGTACACTTAGGATGGTCCACTTTTGGTCGAGATGGGCTCGGTCGGGTTCTGAGGAATTTACCACATCTTGGACGACATTTCAGCCGAAGGGATCCATAGGGGTGTTAAAACAGTATATACTCGTTGACAGGGGTCCCTTACAGGATACATTTGGGCAAGTGTTGAATACACATCTACCCAACTTGCTTGGTGGATCCCCTTGCAAAGCATGTTCTTTTTGGATGCATCCATTCAGAAACCCTGTCAAAACCAGTCATTGGGAGAATCAGGGAGTCGTGTGCGAGCTTGCAACGGCGTAAGATGGTTTCCCCCAAGCTGGCCGAGGGAAAAAGGGGCATCCAACCACTAGCCACGATATAAGGGATACACGATCTCAATGGGGAAAACACAGCTGCCATGTGTCCTAAGCGTCGGCCCCAAGGAGCCCATTCGTCCTTGGGGTTGGTCTGTGGGTAGTGAAAGCCGTCCCAATTCAACTCCACGAGAAAAACAAAACATTCGCGGGCATGGCCCCCTCCCCGTGATTGTGTTCCACGTAAATTTCGATGGGACCCCAAGTCCACAAGCCACTTCTAGCGGCCGCTTGTTGGTTGACTTTGAAGGCCGCCGCCTTCCACAAGAAATGGAACAGGTCACCACTGGGTTTGGGATCTTGAAGTCTGCTTTTGTGGAACCGCTTGGGGTCCATGCCTCACTTGAGCTTGCCAAGCAGAATCTCAACTGTTGCTGGCTAAAATGGTCCAAACCCAAAAACTTGGCCCACAGCTAGGGTACACACATGTATATATATATATATAATATATACATCATATATTTACATGCACATGTATCTCTCTCTCTCTCTAGCATCCTCGGGCAGTATCCATAAATATATCTATATGCACATTCTGCTTCACATTTCGCCTGCCTATGATATGCCATCTGGGTCAATGCCTTGGAACCCCGTGGCGCGAGAGACTCTTCGGCCCCGCCTTGCGCGTGGTGTTGTCCAGCGGGACCTGCCACACTTCCTGGCCTCGAGGCAAGAGCAACGGACCTCCGCATGTTGTTCCTGCCTGGAAAGGAAACTAGTTGGAGCTGGTGCCCTTTTGGGGTGGGTTGAAAGGGACACAGAAGCCAACCCGCCATGTTGTTTCTTTGTGACAAGGCCCTCTCATTGAGCCCAGATGGATTCCTTTCCAAGGACCTGCAAAGATTGCAACGTCGGATTGATAACCCACCCCCCTGCAGGTATTTCGGAAGAAAGGAACCGCTACTTTAAAAGGAACACCCTTAATTATGGATGGGGGAGGTTCCTTTGTCATGTACAGATTCAGAGCTATACGGGGAGCCTGGAATTGAGGGGTTGTTAATTCCCAGACCCGTCCTGTGGCTTCACTTGCTTGGCTCTGAACCAGTACTTGGAATTTGCCAGGGGTCGACAAATAGTGGTGAGGCAGTGTACACTCTAAATTGCATTTGCACTTTGACCTGTCACATGGTGTTTTGCTTTTTGAATTGGGGTTCAACAAAATTCCGAAAGGACGGGATGCCTATATGTCTCCCTTAAACGTCATCCAGCGCCCAAAACCCATGAACTCCTGGTGCGAACAAAATTGTTGTACATGTTTATGTAGGTCTTGTGCTCAACCCAATTGAGCTAGGTAGTGGAACCACCTAAAATTGCCAAAGGGCCTGCAATCGTCCAAACCCCAACGCCAAGACGCGCAAATCCGCCTCCTCTTTCCGGAAGAAGGCTTTGGCCTCATCGGACAGGCCCTTGCACTGCTCCTCCGTAGCGGAGCAATAGACGTGGGGCATTTCCTCGGCTTCCGGTGCTTCAGATCCAACATGATCCAACCCTCCTCTACCCCCCTGGTTTCTTCAAAGACTTGAAGGAAGCTCGTGGGTGTGCGTGAAAATGAGGAAGATGCCCCAAAATTTAAAGGGGCAGCTTGTTCCTGCTGATTCGCGCTTCAGATTATGCCGAGGACTCCTTTCGGTTGTCAATGTTGGGCCGAGCAGCGGGGTTGTTGCTGACCTTGGACAAGGACCACATCAAAGCCCCGTAGACGTGCACTAGGTCGAAGTGATCCAGCTTCTCAGCCTGTCAAAACTAGTTGGGGATTCACCTTATCCTCATTGGTGGTTTGGAGTTGAGCGCCGCGTCAAAACAGAGTGGGGTTCAAATTGCAAGTCCCCAAACCACCAAGCCAAAGCACCAGCTGGGCAATGAGGTACCCCTAGGCCACGGACCGGAAGAAAACCAAGTGCCTTTCTGCCCAAATCTCGAAAACGCGTATGTTTTGCAGCCCCAGCTAAACATGAACAGGGCCCCACGCCAAACCGGGCCCTCCCTGGTTGCCTTGTTGAGGACGAAACGTACCTTGCTCTTGCTCTTCTTCCCCAAAGCTTCCAAGCATCGCCGGAACTCATCGCTGATGTCCAGCCTTGGATAGATCAGCTGCACAAATTGCCTGGATGTGTCGAAAGCCGTGCTGCTAAGGGTAGTGGAATGCATTAAAAAAAGAAGTCCCAATTTGCTCCGACCATGACAAGGTTTAGTGTTGAAGTGTTAAAGCTTACAACCCCATGCTAAAGCATTTAGGCCCAACTGGAGGCTTCTCGAAGACAACTTTCCTCGAAAGGTTTCATGTTTGTTTGTGGCAGAGAGGCAAATTACATCAGTTTGTACTCTGTTTCATGACTAGCCTGCCTATCCTGGCCCAACATATCAACAAGTTTTTGCACATGGAAGGGGCGGACTTGCTGAAAACACTGCGGTGTTGAGCTTCCAGGATTCGCGGAGTGCGCGCGCATCGCCCGTAGGAATTACAAAATGTGTTCCACGCCTTGTTCGCTCGGGGGCCCTTCTGAAAAAAACTGGCGTATAAATCATTGGAATAAAAGTGAGACTAGTGCCATCATTTATTGAACTGAACTGGGCTCGCAGCCGCATGCCAAAGGTGACAAAGAGCAAGCATGAGAATGGCAACCACTGTACTTCAGCTTCCTCCTAGATGGTTCTGGGGTGGTTTGCCACGAGAACAGCAGCCGTGCCTTGCATGGGGAATCAAATTTGACATAGTATATGCTAGCCACCCATCCTCAGGATTCATGACGCGACGCACACGCACAAAGATACACTTAACTTCCCCCGCACGTGACACAAGCAAACTCGCATTTTCCTGACAAGCGCAACATCACAAAGCAACATGCCAGCAAATGAGTATGCACGTCAGTCAGTAAAACACGACTGCACAGCAAGGCAATGTCAAAAAAGGAAACGCACGGGTCCTAAGATCTTATCTCTCACCCGGGCGACGGCTCAGTTGATCGCGCTTTAAGGCAGGAAGCTTGTTGGGGTCAAACAGCACGAGGACAAGATCGGCATTTTCGGCAAACCAGCCCATGACTCCTTCCCAGGGCCGAAGGACCATCTGGGTTCTTCAAAGCGGGATCCCTAATCCTAATCCAAATTGCCGGCTACAAGGCTACAGCAAGGGGAAGCCAGCATAAGGAACCGGCATTGATCCAGTTTTACCTTAGTCCTCACCCCAACACAAGAAAGGTCTCCCCCCATAATAAACATAATAGAACAAATTGTCAAAATCCCAGCGTTCCCAATTTAACAAGAATAGACCAATTCTAAACCAATACGAAACTAGAATTAATCCGCCTACAAAGGTCGTATTATATAAGGGATTTTGCACTCTCAGTCAGCAAGATCTATTTTGAAAGAACAACTGGTTGCAGTTTCTATTTATGCAATCCCCTACAAAAACACAGCAATCTGTTGACTTGTCTGTGCAAGCTGTATATCTGTCCTCATCTTTATATATATATATGTATATATATATATCAGAAAACCAAGCAAGTTCAACCCTAAACAAGAAAACGGAGACCCGCTTAAATCCTTTTCGCAACAAACAAAGCACGGAATCCTGGAGCATTTGCTGGTTGCCCATGACTGGACCACAGAAGTGAAAAGCACGGGAGTTGGCAGCCAACATTTGGTGCGCAACCAGTGGCCGGGAATCAGTGGCATAACTGATATTGTCCTCGTCCGCATCGAGGAAGCTAAGCTGCGCCCAGAAACGCCAACACCACATCTTTTTTAGGTTCCCAAAAAGACAAAAACACATTTGCCGGAGAGCACAGCTGGAACAACAACCATTCACAACTTTCATTGAAGGGGATGTCCTGAGATCTTGCGCCTCAATCAAAGATGGGGATCCTTTCTGGTTGGCTTAAAGGAATACCAAAAGAAACTCCACCATTCGAGGGGGGTCCACATTCCTATTTTGGCACATGCCACGGCCGCCTTCGAAGTCATAGCTGCGGCCCACCCGCTGCTTGTCGCCACTCAGAACCCCGGGCGTGTCTACAAGGCTCAGCAGCCCCAGCACTGGGACCTGTCGGTTGCAAAAACTCGCTTTTCCCAACCCGCAGCTTAGTCAACGTTCAGCCTCAACTTAGGATTTGTGCTTTTTGATCATTCTAGTCACGGCGAGGGCAAATATGCTTCAAAAATCGTACCAAATGTTGACCCAGAAGGTTCCGATTGCTTTTAGCCCTCAAACCCCTCAAAGGTCGGATTGTACGGACCATGTTCCTCCATGCGCCTTCCGGGTTGCGTGCTGTTGTGTGGATGGTGGGACTCTCCGGCAACTCTGTCTAGACTCAAGCAGCATGAGCCAAGACTAGTCAAGTAAACGTCCACCTGGGCGAGTATGCAACCCAAAATCAGGAAGTTGTTCGAGAAGTCTCCTTTTTCTGAGCGGACCCCTTTGCGGGGTACAGATTTCGGCACACTGCTTCCAGGTACTACCTTCTTCGGGCAACAAACCAACCCGGCACATTGACAGGGGGCCCCAAAAGTCATCCGGAGCACCTCGAACATTTGGGCACCCCTAGTCATCAATGAGGGGTTCATGAATCCTGGCGTCCCCAGCATGATTCGTTTGATTGAATTGTTGCGTGCGGTCCCAAAGGATCTGCACTTTCTATAACAATTCACAAACTGAATCAAGAGATTCCTAGCACAAGAACACATAATTCATAGTGACTTAGTGAGCTCGTTTCAAATCCAGGTAAGATTGCCACAAAAAAGGCAGAAGTATCACCCGCCCCTTGAGAGCCACAATTGCTTGTGCAGTGGCTCGTGCCGCGCTGATGATGGTCTTGATGTCCCCGCCCCGGAAGAGAAGCCACCCCCAGATGTAAGTTTAAGAACCTCTCAACATGCAAACACTCCGAGGCACCCGGGGACAAAAGACTCAAACTCTAAGATGTGAGGCTTTGCTCAACTCAACCAGTGCTTTCCCATCTCCAACCCGAGGGATGCGGAAGTAAAAGAGTGTACCGTACAACGGTGTACCCCATGTCACCCTGGTGGAATTGGGTGGAGTCATTGGTTGGCACAGTAGCCTCCCCATGGGGTGACCTTAGAACAGGTGCGCCCACGCAAGTAGTTGGCATGCTTCGCACATTACACAAGCGATCGGAACTTCTTTGTTAGAAGCTGGTTTAGCTGGGTGATAAATGGGGCAGTGGCAAAATAAGCAACTTGCATCAAATGACGCGCCCCTTTGGGTTTCCTTTAACTGACACAATGGGCTATGTTGCACCCCCGTGACACATGGGTGAGCGATTCCTTTTTTGCGCCTCCTGTACTGGCATCAGGGCGCCCTCGAAGCGATCCAGAAAGCGAGTGCCAAAGCGGTTCAGCTGTCCAAAGGGCTGCGAAGGGTTGCTGCACAGCGCGAAGCCTGGACTGGTCCCCTGGTTGTCAGCCCCCCAAAGATCTAAGAAACTCACCTCACCTCACTAGCTGCCATCAAGATTGCGGGGGCCCTCTGCAGAGAGGGCCCTTGACAAGCATAGGACCGTCTCTGGAGAGATTGCGAGATGAGATTGCAGGTGGGGTTGGAAGCAAACATGTGCAAAGCCAACACTTATTTTTCTTGTTTGTCAGCTTGGACCCGGTGCAAAGACCCTTCAACAAAAGATGGTTGGCTGTGGGAAATGGAGAGGGCCAAAAAGCATGTGTTTTTCCCCTGTGGTCTTTTCAGGTTCGGAGCTACCCTGCCTCAGGAGCCCTGCCACGGGGGAAAGATTGCGCCGTTTTGTCGGTTGAATTGAGAGGGAAACCCTTCCCCACAAAAAGCAATTGCAATGTGGAATCCACTGCCCAACTGGACCAAGTAGATCAAATGTTGTTTTTCCCCTTTTCGGCCATAAGATTTGGATCCACAATTGAGGGACCTTCATGGCGAACAGGTAGCGTCGCTCGTTTCATTCAACAACAACCAGAAGAATCCGTTACCACACTATCCGTGCAGGTGACATATATCTATGAATGTATATATATATATATATGTGTGTGTGTGTGTATTCGCACACGAACATTTGCCCCATTTGGAGGGTACTTCGTGATTGACGGGGATGTGACGCGAATGGGTCGAGATTTGGGAGCCCGAGCCTGGCAGCTGCTGGCGTGATGGGCCAGCCATGATGGACACGAACTTGTCCGTGGTTGGCTCCGGGCCCACCCGCATGCCCGGATACTCCGCCTGGAAAACGCGAGGATCCCTAGAAGCAGTGGCTTTGGCTTTTGGATCTGTCGGCACCTGGGAAAAAACAAGGATCCAACTTGTTGCAGGTGGGTGTCTTTGATCTAGCCTTGCGGAACCCTTGGACTAGACTCTGGTTGGGGCGGGTTTCGAGACCGGGGCTCCTGAGCGGCGCTTCGTTGGTACTTTCTCTTGTCGAAAAGCTGGGATGAGAGAAACATGGGGAAAATGATCTGTGCCACACGGATCACGGATTGCGGAGGCCCAGCTCATGCCATTTTTGGGGTATATTCTTTTGGTTACCACCTGAGTTTCCCTCGTCTTTTTGTGATGTGTAAGGTGGCAACATTGAAGCCGTGTTTTGGTCTCCGAAAGCGCAGGGCGTTCGCTTGAAGCCACTCTGGGTTTCCCAAGCATGGAGCTGACGGTCCCCACACCCGCCCCAACCAGAGTCTGGTCCAACGCAAATCCCAGATCCTTTGCGCGCCATGCCCAAACAACTCCGAAATGGCTCTGAAAACCTCCGTTTTGAAGGACCGAAACACCCACCCTTAGCTCCTTCCAAGAGCCGGTGTTTTGACTACCCTTAGGAACATAATAGTCTTGGAAGAGACGGAGGCAAGGCCCCCCCTTTCCAAATCAACGCAAAACCAGCCCCCAGGCCCACGGGGTGTTCGGCCTGCAAAAGCTGCGAGATGAGAGTGCTCTTCCTCAGATCGTTAGTGAAGCAAGCAGCCCAAAAAACGCACACATCGGACTTAGTTGCCCAAAGGACTCGCACGTCAAAGTTCGAAAGGACGACAAAATCTGGGAAAAAAATAAAAGGTTGATTCGGTCAGTCATGAACATTAACAGAAACAAACCCGCAACTAGCCAAAAGCAACCCTAAACCCACCCAAAACCAACCTCAAAGAATATCTCACCACCCTTCATCACTTGGAAGAGGTTCCCCGGAAACCTCTAAGCAAGTGGTCACCTAAAGCGCAAGCAACCAGGGTTCTGCACATCACAGGAGACAACAAAGAGCAATATACCAATGTTCTATCCTTGCGGTTTGGCTGTTGTTCTGAGATTGGGAGTGTGTGCACAATTGTCCACAGCCCTGGGTGTCAACTGGGTCCACAATCCAACTCCCATCGCCTTTGGCCTTCCTGGGGAAATCAAATTGTGGGAGCCCCTCAAATCCAACCAAGGGATTAGGAACCTGCCACCCAAACTCCGCACCAATTCAACAGCCAATTCGTTCCCCACCCCCAAAACTCTCTTGCCCAATTCACCCGGAAATAGAATGTTCACCTTTTGGGACCTGTGCCAAACTAGACCAAAAAGGGAAAACCAAAAGGTCAACGGGTCGATTCGCTTTCAACAACTGAGCCATCCCCAAAACCCTCCAGAGAACTCCGAGGCTCCCAGTGGAGTACTGCCCCAGCACCAGCACCATCGGCTTCGAGGTGAAGTACGCAGAGCTCAGCTCGGCGCCTTAACCAGGACGAGTGAAGCCAGCCGAACGCCGGGAAGCCGCGAGCGTTTTGGGTCACAGGCCGAAGACGTAGCAAGGTCACCCATATTTGGGGAAATGTAATAAGAACCCCGTCACCTCCACTAATGAGAACCTAGGTGACAAACAAGGGCAGAAACACGTGCCAGAAAACAGGGAAGGCCTATGGGAACCCAGTTGATGCAGCAAACATGTTGCTTCTTTGTTGGGGGTGGAACCAGTTCTAGAGGGGAATCGGATAGTATGTTGTTGTTTGTTGTTTTCAATGCGTTTCTAAATCCACCTTTTTTCCAAAATGATTGACCAGATTCATCCAGGGTGCGCATGAGCTCCGGACACAACTACAAGTCTCTCTCCAGGGTATGGAAATTCGGATGGTCTACAGTAAGCCCCCTGCCTCTTGTTGGGTTAGTTTGCTCCTCCATGCTCCCCCCCCAATGCCATCCAAAAACTGACCATAGTCGACCAATCAATTTGTCAGTTGAAATGCTCAGGATCAGTTCCCAGGGTTCAGGGATGGGAGGCGAAGGGAGCGGGGACTCGGTGGCAGCTTCCGGTGATGTGTTGTCCTCACCGGGCTTCGTCTTGCAATGAGGATAATGAGGCACCCTTCAAATTGGAATGCATGGCACCCCCATTTGTCAGAGTTGGGTTCCCATGTTGAAAGCAGCTGCCGGAATAACGCAAGATCGGAGCATAGAAACATAGGACCATCCTCTTCACCCCAAAGGGTCCCTATGAAAGGAACCTTCAGCCGCACAAAAACTCAAGCCTCTTGGAGGTATCGTTTAAGCAAAGCCATCCATGCCACTAACGATTAGGGGGTCGTTGTTTCATTTTTCAGGGTTTCATGAGTTTCCAGTTAGCACCACAAGGCAACTCTCTTTACATTGGCCCATTGGTCTGTGTCAACCACCCACCCATCCATGGGCATTTGATGCCACCAAACGAGCTGGCAGCCAGGGACTCCGTGGAATCCAAAACCACGCTGGGGTATTGACTCCAAAAACGATGTTTTTTTCCCGGAAGCATTGCGAAGGGTTCTTCTTCTAAAAGCGGCTGCCAACTTCACCTGCCAACTTCTCATGCCAACTTGTCGAGAGTTACTTCACCTGCCAACTTCTCATGCCAACTTGTCGAGAGTTACTTCACCTGCCAACTTCTCATGCCAACTTGTCGAGAGTTACTTCACCTGCCAACTTCTCATGCCAACTTGTCGAGAGTTACTTCACCTGCCTACTTCTCATGTCAACTTTTTGAGAGTTACTTCACCTGCCAACTTCTCATGTCAACTTTTCGGCTGTTATCTCATTCTACTAAAAGCACAAGCTAATTTGTCGGGTGTTACTTCACTATCCTAAAAACACAAGCTAACTTTTCTGTTCTACCTTCACATCTCGACTCTTAATTCTTCTTCTTTTTATGGCGGGGGTAGGCCCGACGGGAGCTTACGAAACGCACCCCTCTGCGGAGATCGTGCGTGTCGAAGCGCTCTCGCTGTGGCGCCGTGCGAATTTGTCTTGACCTTGGCGAACCCTCTGCGGAGATCGTGCGTGTCGAAGCGCTCTCGCTGTGGCGCCGTGCGAATTTGTCTTGACCTTGGCGAACCCTCTGCGGAGATCGTGCGTGTCGAAGCGCTCTCGCTGTGGCGCCGTGCGAATTTGTCTTGACCTTGGCGAACCCTCTGCGGAGATCGTGCGTGTCGAAGCGCTCTCGCTGTGGCGCCGTGCGAATTTGTCTTGACCTTGGCGAACCCTCTGCGGAGATCGTGCGTGTCGAAGCGCTCTCGCTGTGGCGCCGTGCGAATTTGTCTTGACCTTGGCGAACCCTCTGCGGAGATCGTGCGTGTCGAAGCGCTCTCGCTGTGGCGCCGTGCGAATTTGTCTTGACCTTGGCGAACCCTCTGCGGAGATCGTGCGTGTCGAAGCGCTCTCGCTGTGGCGCCGTGCGAATTTGTCTTGGCGCCGTGCGAATCCTTGGCGAACCCTCTGCGGAGATCGTGCGTGTCGAAGCGCTCTCGCTGTGGCGCCGTGCGAATTTGTCTTGAGCCGGCGAACCCTCTGCGGAGATCGTGCGTGTCGAAGCGCTCTCGCTGTGGCGCCGTGCGAATTTGTCTTGACCTTGGCGAACCCTCTGCGGAGATCCTGCGTGTCGAAGCGCTCTCGCTGTGGCGCCGTGCGAATTTGTCTTGAGCCCGATGAACCCTCTGCGGAGATCGTGCGTGTCGAAGCGCTCTCGCTGTGGCGCCGTGCGATTTTCTTGCTCGCGAAACGGCTTTTGGAAGTTGTCTCGTGGTGTGCGCGCCTGCTTTCGCAATCCCGCGGTCCCGGGTTCGATTCCCCCCTGGTCCGCGGCAGCTCCGGCTTGAAAATCGCAGCTTTTAAGTACAAACGTAGTACGCGGAGCGTGCTCCTGCAGCTCCGGCTGGAAAATCGCAACTTTTAAGTACAGACGTAGTACGCGGAGGCTGCTGCAGCTCCGGCTGGAAAATCGCACTTTTTAAGTACAGACGTAGTACGCGGAGCGTGCTCCCGCAGCTCCGGCTGGAAAATCGCAACTTTTAGATACAAATGGCTGGAAAATCGCAACTGTAAATTGCAAATGTAGCACGCGGAGCGCCTCCGCCGCTCCAGCTTTTTGAGGGTTAATTACTTCACCTGCCAGTTTCTCATGCCGAAACTTCGAGAATTACTTCACCTGCCAGCTTCTCATGCCACCTTTTCGAGAGTTACTTCACCTGCCAACTTCTCGTGCCAACTTTTCGAGGAGTTACTTCACCTGCGAGCTTATCATGCCAACTTTTCGAGAGTTACTACACCTGCGAGCTTCTCATGCCAACTTTTCGAGAATTACTTTACCTGCCAACTTCTCATGCCAACTTTTCGAGAAATACTTTACCTGCCAACCTCTCGTGGCAACTTCACCTGCCAACTTTTCGAGAATTACTTCACCTGCCAACTTCTCATGCCAACTTTTCGAGAAATACTTTATCTGCCAACCTCTCGTGGCAACTTTTCGCAAAATTACTTCACCTGCCAGCTTCTCATGCCAACTTTTCGAGAGGTACTTCACCTGCCAACATCGCCTGCCAACTTTTCGAGAGTTACTTCGCCTGCCAACTTCTCGCGCCAACTTTTCGAGAATTACTTCGCCTGCCAACTTCTCATGCTAACTTTTCGAAAGTTACTTCACCTGCCGGCTTCTCACGCCAACTTTTCGAGAGTTACTTCACGCGCCATCTTCTCGTGCCAACTTTTCGAGAATTACTTCACCTGCCAGCTTCTCACGCCAACTTTTCGAGAGTTACTTCACCTGCCAACTTCTCATGCCAACTCTTTGAGAGTTATTTCACCTGCCAACTTCTCATGCCAACTTTTCTCTTGAGTTACTTCGCCTGCCAACTTCTCATGTCAACTTTGCGAGAATTACTTCACCCGCCAACTTTGCCAGCCAACTATTCGAGAGTTACTTAACCTGCCAGCTTCTCATGCCAACTTTTTGAGAATTGCTTCGCCTGCCAACTCCTCATGCTAACTTTGCGAGAGTTACCTCACCTGCATCAACTTGCCTCTATGCTTCCGGGCCACTCGTCGTCTAGTTGTTTTTTGTTTTTTTGGGGCTTCCCTTTCAACCCACCTGAGCAGGGTCAACCACCCGAAATCAAGACAGACCCATTCGGCGCCCGCTTCCCGGGCATCCGGGCTGTCATAGAAGCTCCCGAACTGGAGCTTGCGCTCCAGCGGCAACAACTTGGCCTCTGCCAGCGCGCCCGTATGGGGCGTGGGCGCCAAAACTTGGGATCCCTTCAAAAAAGGCCCCCCCCCCCACGAAGGGTGGCCTCGCAAAGCGGGAATCCTGAATTCGCCCTAAGCCCAATTAAGCCAAATACACGGAAACACTCAGGCCTAAGCCATGTTGCAAGTAAACCAGCCATACTCAACCACAACATCATGGTACATCACGGAAAATTAGAGTGTTAACTTGCACATTTAATTACTTGCTTTTCTTTGGTGCATCCACCGACTAAGTCTCTGAGTGAATGGGCGGAAGCAAGTCGAAAGTTGCTGTCCACGTTTAGAATTGTCCTTCCCCAAAGTATAAAGTCCAGAGACTCAGAGAATCAGGGAATGAGCAAGTCCTATCCCGTGACTACTGGGAAGCCACTGCAACAAGGAAACCACAACCATCTGTGATAAGGATCTTCTGGCTTGACTTCACCCCAAGAAAGTCTTCACTAAGCATGTGCGCTCTCTGCGCGAATCTAGTTCACCGACCAGTTAACCGAAAAAGAAACACCACGGTCCCCCTGCCCCAACAACAAAAAAGAGCGGCCGCTCTTGAGACCCCGGGAACAAGGGTAGAAACAGTTGATTTCCGAAAGGAAACCCAACAACAACTAGGAACTCTCTCTGGGTTTGAAGCGACCCTTGAAAAGCAAACCAGGCAAACAGGCACTCGGCCAAACAGAATGCTCAAATTTACAAACTGAAAACAAGCCCAAGAGCAACCCTTGAACTTGAACCTACCCAGGACATGCCCAGAACCTGCCAGCCCAGAGTTTGTTCCAAACCTAGGATTGCTGTGGCTTTTGAGGAAACGCCAGAATGTACAGAACCATCATCCTGTAGCTGCTGGTTTGTTTCAACCCAGGTTTGGTAAGTTCGTTGTGGACCTAATCTGCCCGCCCTCTCCAGGACCCCTGTTCGCACACGCCTCGTACACGCCCTGGAGCGTCTGAAGGAGATCGGGGAGCACCTCCATTCATCGTGGGCACTGGCAACTAGTTCTAATTGATGGTTGAAGTCGAACAAAACAACTGGGCTGTCCTCAGATCCCCTGCGAAAATTATCTAATAGTTTTATTTTTCGTGGGATTGACTGGAAATCCCCGCTAAACCCTAAAAAGCTAGACACCTGAGGGGATGGCTGGGAACCCAAGCCAAGTGCACTGCGGAGACGCTGCCCCCGAAAATACACCGAAGGTCCGGAACAAACCGTGCCTTCAGCTGCTCCTCTGGCTTGACGAAGTATTGCCTGAACCAAGCTGTGGCAGCAGCCGCGAGGAGCCAACCTGTTCGGTGTTTAAACCACTATCGTGCTTAAACACGCTCCTTGGTCTCGCTCAAATAGGAGAAGGTCGTTCAAGCAAACTTTGCCCTCAGCCCTCTGCGGATACCGAGGGTTGGCAAACCAAGCAATCCACCCGATTTCGCAATTCACCGTTGAACATGGCTTTAACAAGCCAATCCCAACCACAAAATCAGCTGGCAAAACCACCTTGCCAGCATGGCCTTCCTCCGAATATGTGGGGGCAAATCACTGCCCAAGACCAAAAGCCTCTGGATGCCAAAGAGGGAGACTGAACATGTTAAATGTGTGAACATGATCCATCCCCGTTTCTTGGCTGTCCTCAGATCCCCGGCTTTAACTTTTAGTGGGTTGAATGGAAACCCCCACTAAACCAGCCAAAACGCCACCAAGCTAAGGAATCGGAGAGCTGGGAGCCACCAAGGTTTGGCTTCCTCCGGAACTCCCCCCGCTTCGGCGCCTCAAGCGAGCCGCAAAGCTGCGCCGTGCACATCTCCAGCCCCTGGCGCGCCGATCTCTCTGACTCTCTCCTCGAATTTGGGAACCCCTCCTTTAAAAAAGACCATCAACTTTTGCTTCCCGTTGAACCGCAACCCCAAAAGGGCACCTCCAACAGGGACACACACACACACGGACAGACAGAGACACACAGAGAGACACAGAGAGACACAGAGACACACACACACAGAGACACACAGAGACACACAGAGACACACAGAGACACACAGAGACACACAGAGACACACAGAGACACACAGAGACACACAGAGACACACAGAGACACACAGAGACACACAGAGACACACAGAGACACACAGAGACACACTTACCCACTTTAGGCACCCCGCAAACTAATTAGCTGAGTAACGGAAACTGTCTCAGAGCTTCAGATGGCAATGCGAAAGGCAAGATTCTGCTTGCAAATGTTTCCACGTTGCCACTTCAATGTGACAATGTGTTTCACGCTGCCACTCAAAGACTGGAATGCCTTCACTTTCCCTCCCCTGCTTTCTCCCAACAAGGTCTTAATACGTGGGGGTTGGATGACATGTCTGCCCGGTGCCTTCGCTTGACTTGGCTGATGGCCAGCAGTGGCACGAGTGGCACTGCCCTGGCGTCTAGTGGGAGGGGCCTAGTTTGTTGGTGTCACTTGTGGATTTCCTTAAGAAGCTCCGGGAAATCCAAACAAACCAGCCTAAAAGGCAACAAGGGATTGTTCACTACCTACTGAGAACCAGCAAGTTTGATTCAAGTTCGCCGAACATCGGAGGCCTTGACTTCTATGCTTTGGGTGGCTCAATCGGATTGGTTATTGGAAATGATTCTGCGGACCCGAGGGCCGGCTGGACAACCCCAAAAAAGTCCGGCGCGTCCGGCAGAACCAATTTCTCGCAGGTCAAACAGGATTTCAACTCCGGCCCAACTAAAACTTTACCCAAGCTCCGGCTGCGTCCATCCACCCACAAAGCGGCCACCTACAACCTTCTCCCGCAAACCACTTTCTCCCCCAGAACCCGTGTAATTCATCTGAGGTTTGACCTTCTGGTGGAAAAAAACTTGAACCCCTTTTTGCCGTTAAATCTTTTTGCTTTGCTTGCGGAGCATGGGCCTGAAACGGGGACCAAGCCGTGTCCTTTGCTTCGGGTGAAAGGCCTCTTTTCCGAGGAAATCCCAACCCAAAGATTGGCATACCTCCATAAGAGGAGTGTCTGGGTGAATCACCTGGCATCTAAGTTGTAACATACCAGGGAATCACATCATGGCTTTCGATGATGTGTTACCCCCAGGTGAAGCTTGCCATGAAATATTATAGAGGCCGAAATAACTAGAATGGGGTTGTGGGGTACGGTAATTATTTTGACATTTGATATTTTTTTCCAAAGGAAAACTCTTTTGTGATTGTTTAGCCCCTCACTTTCGGCAGACTGGCACGCAATCCAATCCCTCCTCTTCAGCGGCGTGGATGGCGCCCTGTCCGCTGGTCTGCCAGAGGCCGAAAGCGAAAGCTTTCGGCCCACCGCCGCAGTGGGAGCTGAGATAGGCGCCAGCATGGCACGAGCAAGAGGACCCCGGCGTTGGGCACAGGGTGAATTGGGTTTTTGCTTTCTGAGTACTTTGCACCAAGCTGAGGTCTAGGTGACCCAAAGGTCGAAACGTGCTCGGCTACTGCAACTGGCTTCAGGAGTCTTCATGGTGAGGTCGCGGGACCTCTTTGCGAGGTTGCGAGCACATTGCACAGAAACTATACCAGTGGCTTGCATCTTTTGCGAGGAGTGCCTGTGAAATTGGTGGGCGCAACTTAAGATCCCTGACATCTAATTTGGGCGACCCTTTAACAAATGGGCTCTAGGATGCTACGCGCATAGTTTTTTTTGGTGCACGCTGGAGCCTGCTCATTCGAGCCTCGTTGCTTCTGGGCCGTGGGACCTGCTAAGCTGCAAAGCTGCTAGGTCTCCGGGTTGGGCCCCCGTGTTTCTCCAAGACCCTGTGAGCCATGGCCAGCGTCGCAGTTTGCCTTGCTCCGTTCTGGTGCGACATCCAAATCACTCTTGCCGAAAGGGAAAAGCAAACCCCGCGGACTCTTGCTTTTTTGGAGGCGAGTGATGGCAAACCCAGACAGCTGACTTCCCCAGCTAGCCCCGGAGCCTTCTGCACCCCCAACCCAAAGCTTTCTCAGCGTTTGAAGAAACCACTGTCTGAACACGGGATTTGAAGTCGGAGTTGGGGCTGGGCACATCACTCTCAGTCCGAGTTAAAATCAAGAATCGTCAAGTAGAGATCTTCATGAGTGAGCTCGTTGTTCCTCGACTTGGTACTTCCGGGACCGCTTCATATGCAGTAGGTATCCTTTCATACGTTTTATCTTGGGGGGGTGTTGTACAAGTTAGGGTTGCTCCCCTAAGTTTGACATGGGAACCCCCAACAACCCGCAGGGGCCCTCCTTTTTTGGGGGCCAGTTGCCGACTTTTCATGGCCCACTACTGGCGCTCACAGAATGTTTTAATGTTAGCCTACCCTAAAGTATATTAGTTTTGGGATCGAAGACCCTAGTCACCCCCCGAACTGTCGAAAGGCGCCGCTTGTTTGAGAGGAATTCGGATACCCTCAAATCTTTCGCTTCCAACCACCGGCCAGCAAAAACCATGCAAAATACGTGGCCCTGGCTCACGCTCAGTTTACGGAATCCGCTCCCCCCCCAAACAAAAACCAAAACAAAAAACAACCACACATCGAACTCATGGCCCCAATTGGGTATGCGTCAAGATAGGGGGGCACCCAAAGTGATTGGCGTCCTTTTGGTTTCCCTTTAAGCCAACCCCAAACAACACAACACACGGAGTAGGACTCGACTCCTCCTCCATGCGCTTCATGCGCTTCTCAGAGCTGTCGTTGCTCCTCCGCAGCTCATGGAGCTCGCTCTCCTGCAGATTTCTCGGGCTCGGAGCCCCATATGGGCGGGTCGGTTTTTTCGGGGGAATCCCATGTTGCTAAAGGGAATCCCATTTTTTGTTTCCGGTTGTTTTGTTGTTCAAGGCGAAACTGCAACAAAACAAACCATGTTTATTTGTCTTTTTTTGGGGGTGGGTTGTTCTCTGAGACAAGCACATTTATGGGGGTCGTGTTGTTTGGACTATAGGTACCCTTTGTGAGGCCTGATCTAAGGGAAACCGAATCCCGTGTTTGGGGCCCCGCATAAACACACAACCCCACTTTCGAGGCAGGTGGGGGAATTTACTGGAGGACCCTCTGGTGGGCATCATTTAGGTGGGGATTCATGCCCACCAACAACTTTCTTGAACAAACACAACACAGATTGGCTGTCTGATGTCAGGGTGCGAAAAAAAGATCGGGGGTCTGGAAAAAATGAGAAACGCAACCCGAGGGTCAATTCGACATTGTGGTTGCTATTGATCGCACCCGGTTGTCATTGAAGGACAGTGTTTCGGTGCTTCTCAAAATGGTGTTCCCGGTCTACCCATATAAATCAAACATTGTGAGGCGCCCCCACTTGTTTTTGACAACCACGCTTCCCGGCGGGCGGGTTGCATTCAAATGAGTGGCCAAAGGCGCATATCTCCAAGGAGACACCCCGGCAGGTGGATCCCCTTCATCCCTGTCAACCAACCCAAAAGGGTAGCATCAAAAAAACCCGTCCATGGACTCTGCGCACGTGTGCAAAGCATGTATTCGTCGCAAGCGTTCTGGTGGGCACTTGAGAATCGTCCCGAAGCTTTGCCGTGTGTCGTCTGTGGAACCCTCAAGCCTGGATTGACACAGGATGGGCACCACAGTTTTCACCAGCTAGGCTGTCTTTCAGTGTCAGTTTCACTGAGGCTTGCTACATGCAGTTTCCAGCAAACTATGATTGCATCCACGGCATCCCCACTTTCTGAACTGCAGTTGTAATCACAACCCAAAACCACTGTGAGGTCCACTGCACCCCCCATACCAAATAGGCCACTTGGGACTCGCTTCAGCAAGACCGCCCACTTGCTCATCTTTGCAAAGGACCTGGAGGTAAAAGGTTAGTTTTGGGGATCTTGACTATCTAGGATGGTTGCCAAAACCCCGAAACAGAAGCTGCCTCTAAAGATAGTTGTATATCCTATTAAACTCTGCGGGGTAGTGGTTTGGCCCAACGAAAAACAAAGCAATATGCATTCCTCCCTGGTGTCCTGGAGAAATTGAACAACTGGATGCCAACTATTATTGGGAATGCGGCGCAAGCAAGTCATAGGTTCAACCCACACGATTGCTTCAAAAAGAGGCCCCACACATATCAAGACAAATCAAAGCTATTTGGGCCAGTTGCTTGATGTTCAATATCAATATCAAGAGGGACCCCCAATAATAATTTCGCTCATTTCAGGTCAATTCGCTTCAAGTCTCTTTGCACGGAGGCGGAAAAGCGCCTGCTGCTGCAGCTGCCGCGCAATCCCATCATGCGCCAAGTTGAGCTTCTGCAAGGCACGCTGAGAGGGCACCTGAGAGAAGTGGATGGATGAAATCCCTTTCGCACCAATTTGAAACCGTGGTTGAAACCATAAGGTTCGTTGATGCTTGCAGAAAAATCATCATTCCAGACAAGCTTAGGTGGTGCAGGTTCACCAGTGCGCATCCACCATACAGAAAACTACCGGGGGGGGGGGGGGAGCGGTTAGCAGTAAGGCCTTAGTTAAAGCGGAGGTGAGATGAGGTGAGATGCCACCTGGATCCTCAAACTACCCACAACTCATTCTGGGGCGATGTCCAGGTCTTGTGCGCAGCTTCCGGGTCCAGGTGCAGAACGGTCGAGGGAGGCGCTTTCTGCGGACTCCGCCCAGGGAATCATTGGGGGCTCCACTAGCGAGCTAGCGAGTGGGCACTGAGAATTCTGTGTTAGCGCTTATTGACTGGTGGAATTCCCCATATTCCGATCGTGCGCGGAACGCTCCGTGCTTGTGGGTGATGTGCCCCTTGCTGTTAGCAAAGTGGGCATCACAGAAAATGGCAACCTACTGCACATGTACAGTAGTGTTTTCTTTCATCCGAAGGACGGGATCCCCAAGTTTCAGAACCTTCCTCATGGGTTTTCGCTCGTTTCCCCCATCGGTGAGCTCACCGTACAGTATTTGCCAACAAACCTCCTGTTACCTCCGTAGCTCCGCTTTCAAGGTTTACATGTTCCAACCAGAGCGGGCAGCCCGGCATCACCAGAGGCGTCAATCCCGCGGCGCATGAGCTCGGCCAGCTCCTGATCGATGCTTCGGTGAGATCCCGGATCCCGGGGTTTATGGTTCCCGCGTCAAATCCGATGGGTTTGTATTTTGAAACTTTGGATGAGCTCGGCCAGCTCCTAAGATGGTTTCCCTGGTGAATTTGTGGGTGTTCATGTTGAAACTTTGGATTTGGCAGCCCAACGACCAGAAATTAAGGTTCAGCTTGGTTTGAGTCAGCTTTAGCGGGTCTTTCTGCTAAAGCCATGCCAGGCAATATCTATTTACTTTTGGTTTGCTTTGTGGGGGAACTAAACATTTGCTATTTCGCACTCAGGGTTGCCAGCTTGAGAAGACCACTCAACCGTTTTTGAAAGGGGCTGCTGCGCGTCCGTCACTTTGAGACAATCTCGGAAAGACCATTCCAAACTCAATTTGTCACTTGTTTTGACTTGACCCATATCAAATCCAGCTACAGTTGGCATGGCCCTGTCCACCCCTCCAGTTGACAGGTAAACGGGAAACAACTTAGTGCCTGAAATTGACCCCAAAACCCACCAAACATCCGAATCCAACATGCAGAACGAGCGCTTGTCGGGGTATGGCGATTGGACGCCTATGATAAGCATGCGAAAAGCCCGAAGTGTTGTGTGTGAAGCAACCAATTGCAAGCCTCACTTGGGTGGATTGGCCAAAACAAGTCCACACTCTTTGGGTGCCAGAAAAATGTCTTCCCACAAGTGACTGGGAGTCCAAAACCTCAGGAAGTGGGCTAAAACCGGTTGGTAAAAATACAAGGTTTTGAAGTTAAACACCAAGTCTTTCTAAACCGCACGGCAAATGCAGGGTTTCTCCAAATTAAGTACGTGTTCGTACGGCTGGCTTAAATACGGGTTTCCTTCAACGACCAGGTGGCAAACATTGAAAACCAGGCTTTTCCCATTCAAAACCTGACGTCAACGGGAGTTTTCGCTCACCAAGGATGGAACCACCAAGGGAATTCGGCCACCCAAACCTCACCTTCCAAAGGTTGAGAAGCCCTCGGCCTGTGCTCGCAGGATCTCGGAGGAAGGGGCCACACCCAGGGAGTCCTAGCCGAGTCCGACTCGAACGGGAGCCGATGGGACATCGAGGGGCTCACGTTGCCACAATAAACCTGGCTGCACATAGGCCCAGCCAGAAATAGGAAATCCAAGAGGGGGGCTGTATTCATTGTGGGTGTTTTCCGTAGCCGCGAGCGCAAGGTGGTAAAAGTTGTCCAGACTACATGGACCGAAAGAAATTCCCATGCCAGTGGAACATACTGTCATCATTGGCTGCTCCAAGCTGACTCTGGGTTCAGGGGCGGTACAGTGCAATGATCCCACGCTCAAAAGGCTATTCCACTCCCTTTCTAGCCGATTTCCATTACTGGCCTGAAACCCATGGATCAGGGAGGGTTCCTGACGAAAGGCCCACAAATACATCACAGAAAGGAAACTCACCTGGGGCGAAAGGCGATGCTTTGGAAAATGGAGTACCCGCGGATGGCGGTCCCTGTGCAGAGCGCCACCTCTGAGATCCCCAAGGCTGCCTGGGTCAAGTCTCGCACCGAAGGCAAAATCCTGTCTACTTGTTGTGCGCTTTCTCGATGCCCGTTTGTGGGTTGGGGGTAGGTTTCAAGAAAAGCCAACATTCATTTTAGGGGTGGTATCTTGACACATCCCCGCCTCTTCTTAACTCAAAGATTCCAGCCTCACGATCAGGGGTTCGCACGCCGAAACAGGGACCGCTTTGGAGTTCCTCGTGACTGCCGTGCAAGCGGCCGCTGCAGCGGCTGCGTGACACTTGGGGTGTTGGTCATTGCGTTGACTCACTTCCTGTATGAAAGTGCCAAAAACAATCCGATTTTGCTGGTTTGCCACTAAAGAGGTTGTCCAAAAAGGTTTAAAGTCCAGGAGGCCAGGACTGAGTTGATTTGAGGTTCGGATGGCACACTTTGGCAAAACTCCATGCTGAGTTCCTGCACTGCGGCGGTGGTACTTCTCCCTGAACGGCACCTGAGAAAGACTTCCCCTAAGCTGCACCCGTGCCGAATGTTTTGTTCATATTTGGATTGCATTCTCTGCAAGAACGGGTTTAAATCCCCAAACCTCCCATGCAATGTCTGGTCGCTTTTCCAAGGGAAACCCACTCTCTGGCCGCTCGAAAGAGCACGACAGGGTAAAGCATGGCGTGCAATTCCAACCCATCTAGGTCCCTCGCCGTCCCCTTTCACCAACACTTGGGCCATCTACTGTCGCACTGGTGTAGGATGGTGTAGGCTTCCCCCAATCTCTGAGTTGCTCTTCCCCCTGAGCAAAGGATTGACGAAAGGCCACCTGTTTCCCAATTGCCAAGGAGCTGAAGTCACACCAAAAACCAGCCATGATTGGAACTCGGTACGGCCCCCTCCCACATGACCTCTCGCGCACAACGTGCCGCTCGCGTACGTCCCACCTGCGGTGATGTAGGAGGCGACGCCTGCGCAAGCAACACTCATAACCTAACTGGAAAGAGCTCAGCAAATCTTGTCCAAGAATCAAATTTGCCTTTTAAACTGCCATGCCCTTGCAGAACTCCTGGTGGCTCCTTAGCTCCGTTTTGAAAAGGAAATTGGGATATGTTGGGATATCCTCGGCTCCTTGTCTCCCTTCCAACCACCTGCCAATAAACGTGCGAAAAGGCGAAGGCGCCGAACGCACGGCTTAGCTTTTCGGAGGCCTGTGGCTTCCCCTTTCGAGCTGCAACTTGTGAGGGGAAATCCAGTGACCTGCGTCATTTGGTGGGCTCCTCGGAAGAATGGCATCCCCCCCCCGCCGCAACAAAAAGATCTCAATTCTTGGTCCAGCTTTTGGGTCACTAGTTGCAACAGGGGGCTACCAAAGACAAACCAACAAACATGTCCCTTGCATTCTGGGCAAGTCAAGTGCCTGGCTACGCCTGGGACCGAGCCTGTGGGGCTTCCTGAATCGATGCACCGTTTCAATTGGTGACACAAATCGGGGGCCATCACATTTCTATGTCTCTTGCCAGTTGGCTCCGAATCGCCTTAATGGAGTACTGGCAGCCTCCCTCCCAACAAAGGCGCGAACTGAGGGATTTCGAGGATTAGATCCTCTGCTCGCCATCCAAGCCCCAAGCAAGGCATGGCTCAGCTGGAACCAACGGTAATTTGCACTGAGCTGCAGGCAAAGTCGTCCTTATCTGCACGACGTAGCTCACTCCTGGAAGGCTCCGACTTTCTGCCCTTCACGTGTTGCACAATCACTCAATACATAAAATGGAGCCCCCAACAAAGGGCCTAAATCAGGTCAAGCTGCTTCACACAGGTGCCAGAGCATAGGAGGTCATGTAAGAACGGCAATAGTTTGAATAGGGCAGACCTTTTCCACTATTCCAATCTGCGCGGCAAGGCAACCTGAGCCCCTTCAAGGTGCCAGGGCCGGTGCTTCTAGTGACCCAACCGTGATGCCCTTGAACCGACGTGTTCTTTTCTTCTAAGAATTAGATCACCAACCTCTGACTGACCCCTACATAGTTGTGTTTTTTTTCCACGGGGTACATGAGGGAGATATGAGGGGTATGTGAGAGCGCTGTGTGGGTGTATGAGGGGGAAAGGAGGGATATGTGAGGGGAGTTTCAGGCAAATACTAGGACGCCGGTTCTTTGACATAGGCCGCTTTCCCTTTAGGAAGGGCTGACTCTGGCAGTATCCCAGACTCTTTTCCCAAGGGAAAATCGATATGCTCCTTTCGGGTGGCTTCACATGTCCAACAAGTACTGTTCTGGTTGCCTGACATTGCACGTTTTGAGGGTTCTCGAAACAACTGTTTGTTTTCCGCTAGGGTCCCTTCATTGAAGGCCTTACAATTGATTCCCTGTAGTTGAAATAGGAAAGCCCTAAAATTCATGTATCGTCGTTGCCTTCTTGAAAGTATTTCGGGCATCTTCCCAGCCTTGCAAAGACCGCCCTCCCCGAGTTCCCCGTCTTCAAGCTGAAGCGTGGGCTCTGGTCGCCCCGACTGAAGTCGGGCATTGAGGCTACCTCGCTCTTCGCCTCGCGTTGCACATGGCAATTTCGGGGGCAACCAACAGGACCTTGCCTGCGGGGGTCGGAGTGTAAGCCCTGTTTCTGAAAGGCCGCGCCACTGGGATAAATCAGACTTGTTCTTCAAGTTCATCTATGACCTGAAGCGTACAGCCCAGAACCTGGGGCAATCTGTTTATGGACTTCGGCTGAAAAAAGTGGACCAAGTTTTGGATGGCTTGATTGGGGCAAACGGTTCCTTTGGGGAGTCCCTCATTTGGAACCTTTGGGCTTTCAGCAAACACGGGTCACGTCCACAGGGGCCTTAAGCGTCCGTATGGCTATTCACCAGGCACTGACCCAAGGAAACGCTGGTGATGTGCAGGCTGCCCAACAAGGCATGAAGCTAGGCATAGAGCAAAGGGCTGCGTATTGTTCGGGAAACCCGAAGTAAAACCACATAAGGATACCACGCAGAAAAAGATTCAAATAAGCGGCATGAGAAAGTCAGGTCGTCCTGAGGATCGGTTTGTCATGTTCTTAGAGGCCTGGTTGGCGGGTTCTTTGCGTTTGGCTAGAGTGTGATCGCTCAGGCGACTCAAATTGGGAACCCTAAACGCCCTAAATGGGTGATACCACAAGTCCAGGATGCACACACACATTTTACTTTAAACCTCATATATTAAAAACCTGTTTGGCTCCTCTGGCCAACAGCCTTGCCTCTTGATCGTCCTCGTCTTCCTCTTCCTCCTCCTCTTCCTCCTCCCGGACAACGTCACGCCTCAGGCTGGAGAACTTTGGGGCCTGACCGAACAAGGACCCGGGTCACCATCTTGCACGATCACCCCAAGCCTAGCGACTTGCCATGGGACAGAAGGACACCTTCTTGTTGCTAGTGAGTTTTAAGCAGGAACCCCTCACCAAGAAAGGAACGAACCACATACATGAATTACTGCTTGTTTGGTTGTGTTTGGCTAAAAAATGCAAAAACGCAACCCCTCCCCCCTTTAGGCCGGTTTTCCTTTGGGACAATTAAGCATGGGCGATTTAGCGCCCGAACACCGGCGCCAAGGAGTCCTCTGGAGGCCTGGATTCGGCTGATCCGAGGCGTCGGCAGCCACACACAGACTGCCTGGCGCCGATGTCGGGAATGGGCGCCACGTTTGGACTATCCGAACCCAGCGGGCAGTGGGGAAAAAATGCACTCCTTTTCTAAAGGCTGGTTGGTTTCTAAGGGAAACAAAATGCAAAAGGGGCAGAGGTCTACTTTTTCTTGGTTTGTTTACCCCAGAGTAGACTTCACTCCGGGTTTCTGGGTGAGCTCCACGCCAACGGTCACCACGTTTCTTTGGATGTCCATGTCAAGCCTTAAGAAGGGGCCATTTGACGACACACAGAAAAAGATCCTAAGATCAACCCCACAGGCGGCAGCGCGGCAACCCTTTGCGCGGCTTTTCATGGTTCTCAGATGTTTCGCAGCCGGGCATTCAAAGCTCCGAATGGTCGCTGTGGTACTTGGCGAGTACGTACTCAAAAACCTGCTTTGCAATGCCCGGCTCTGCTCCTTGGTCCGACTCCAAGTGCTGCGTTTCTGAAAATGGTGAACGTCCTATGTTCATTTTTAAGAGGCCCCTTGTGTTGAGAAACGCCAACAAAGCGATTCCTGAACCTGATTGCATTGTGGGTCACCTTGGACCGAAAGCAGAAGATCACAGCAGTTGGCACAAAAGAGCGTGAGTCAACGTTCAGTATGACTATACAACTGAATTGGGAACATGTACAGGAATCCAGTCCATTTGGGAGCACCCCCCCTATCCCTTCTTTTTTGGGCGGCATGTCTATCTGCACCACATCTGTAGCTTACAGAAAACCACGGTTTCAGCTTCTGCTTCATAATACCCTTGCAGAAACCCATGGTTTCAGCTGCTTCATATTTCGCCCATATCAACTCGTTGGATTTCGGAGACCCCAGGTTGCAACTCCCAGGCGCTGTCCCAGACGTGCTCCACCGTGTAGTTGTCCGTGATGCTGAGGAGCACCGCCGAAGACTCCTTGAGGCCCACCTCCGCCGGCGTCAGGGCCGTCCCGCTGCGGGCGTACTGCAAGGTGCCCACTTCGCCCCAGAAGGATACCTCGGAGCAAGTAGCGGCCCGGTTCCGAAGAAATAAAGACGGTTTTGGGGCTGACCAGGCTTGGTCCCGAACCCAAACAGGAAAAGAAAAAGTGTGTTACAGAACGACTGGCTCTAACAAAGAAGTCCACACATTTAAACTTTGCAAAAGCAGGGCTGGAGTTTAGCGATCTCATTCGTGCATGTTACTGCATTGCTCCAGTCTGCAGATCTGCTTACCAGTCATGCAAATCGAGCTTGTAGTTTTCTCTGGTTAGTGCCTGACGAACTCTTTCCTTATCCATCTCTCCCATCTCTTATCACTCACCTCTTTTCCCACGCCTTTCCCTTTCCAGTCGTGGGATGAGGTTAGGTGAGTGAATGAGATAGTCTGCCTCTTTCTTTCCCATCTTCCGCTTCACTTCGTTCGTGAGTGATAAGAATTGGAAAGTAATAGACAGGAGAGGGAGGTGGTACATGAGATGAGACGACCGAACGAATGAGGAGGTATGCCGTGTCTCCTCTCTCAACTCGCGATCCAGCGCATCAAACGGATGCCGTGTCTTCCCGTCTCATGTTGGCGCTTCCGCAGTTCAGGCCCGACCCTGTTGTTTGCCAGTTTGATGTTGAAGCCAATGCTAACCTGCAACGTGGTGTTACAGCTTGCGTAGGGAGCAAGCGTGCTTGTTTCGCCACCTTCACGGTGCGGTGGGGTGGTAAAAGTGATTATTGTTGCTGGCCTAAAGGTTGCCTTTGAGGGATCCTGCCCAAGGCAAGTACAAGCAATATGCCGGCCCGAAGACCAGGTGCCTGCACGCCATGCACATGAAATGCGTCCTCCTCGCCGGCGACGCTCTGGAAATCCTCATCCAAGGCTTTCGCGTTGTTGGAGGGAAAGACCATGACCAACAACCTGGTCACATGGATTCGGGCAGTGCCAAGGAAGCAATTTGAAAAGAGTGTCTTTGGTCCTTGACATGCTTAATCTGCAGTGTTCATGGTTACAAAAAAGGAGCCACCCTTGTGACACTGATGAACGCCCTTCCAACCCACATGGAGGTTGAAAGGAGGCCCCTGGTTTTTGGTCCAAACCCCACAAGTGACTCAAGTCCAACTCGGGAAGGTCGCCTGAGGACCACCTTTAGGCAGTCCGAGGTGCATAGAGTGGAAGTCCTCAAGTAGCTCCATCCTCGGAAACTGGTGGCCGATTTCCAGGCCAGCAGAAGCCGCGCACACAGCGAGGAAGGCAAGCCGAAACATGGCGGAGAGTTGTGCTCCGACTCAAGAGAAGACCCCAAACGCCGACCGTCACATAATCCCTGGATTCAAACTAGGAATTGGCAGAGATTCAGCCGGTTCCCTTCAACAGTTTGAAGGGCTTTGAAAATAACTCTTGCGGCTGCTAAGCTCGGTAAATGTGAGGATGTGACTTTAATGTACCCAGAAAGAGACCTGTATAACCCGAAAACAAGGTCTCAACACCTGGATAGCCTTGGCTGTCTGATAGCAGAAGACGTACCTTCATTCTCCATGCGTGGCTTCCCCTGAAAGAATTGCCGAGTTGAGTCTTTCAGTCTGGTTTCTGATCACCCTGTCTGAAAATAACTGATCGCGAGATATTGCCTTTGAGCTGGCCTGTTCTGCTCAGACTTGAGCCGAAGGATGACTGACTATGCTGCACATGTGCAGGAAGCTACTGCACAAATGAGCTCCACACACACACGCACACAAACACAGGCACACACTCTTCACACATCGCAGGCCAAGCCCCTAGTGCTCACGACCGTTCCTAAGTTCACATTCAGGGTCCCGACTCTGGTCACATGGCCACGGTTGAACCATGGCAGTCCCTAAGCTTGGGGCGCCTAAAAACACCATGGCTACCCAATCTTAGGTCCCGGTTCCCTTGAGGAACGGGAAGTCGCACACACACACACACCAAAACAAACAAAAAAAAACACCCCTTGAGAAGTTGGGTGCTCATCGGGGCCAAACCCAAGAAACAATTCATAGCCACATTTTGGGCTGGGGTCCAGGGGACCACACTAAGACTGTTTCTCTGTCTCAGATTGTTAGGCCGACCCTTTGTTCACCGATCTCGTCGTGGATTCCCTTTCAGCAAAGGGTCATGAAACTTTTTCAAACACCGAGACCAAACAAGGGATTTCGAGAGCGCCACTGAAATTATCATGGCCCAACCCCAGTAAGAACATGTAACTAATACCTATAAATCTGTCTATCTGTGTACCTACCTGTATGTGCACATGCTTATTTATATATATATATGTATTATGCATATGTACAAATGTACATGTGTGATAATAGACCTTAGCCGCCGTCACCCGTTGCGCCTCCGCGACTTCAGAGAGGGAGAGGCCGAAGCCTCCTTCACAGGGCACTGCCTGGCAGCGCAGGTTTCCACTTTCCGCTAGACTCAAACCTGGGCTGCCCTCGGATCCCCCGCTAAAAGTTTTTAACTTTTCGTGGTATAAATGGAAACTACTACTAAACACTGAGAGGCAAAAAAGCCAAGGGGATGGCTGGGAGCCACCAAGAAACCATCTCGGTGTTAAACCCAGACCTGGCACAATTTCCCAACGAGGAGCACTACATTTGCGGACCTCCTGTCCGTTGGCAAAGGACAAAATTTGTCTGGGACATGTCCGGTCCGGAAACCTCGAAAAATACCCGTCCCCTTTCCGTGGCTGTTTTGTTTGCAATAAAAACACACGCAAACAAAACAAATTGGCACCAAGACTAAATCTAGCCACACCTAAGGGATACAAAAGCATACCCAACACGCAGCGAAGTGTTGAATAGAATGTTGAGGTTCTCAACGTTTCACCAACCAGAGGGCCTCCCAAGAACGGAGCATGGCACGCTTCCCCCATTTTGACCTATTTAGTCATCCCCTACACCTACCCACGTAAGGGGAATTGTGCCAACCATTTCGCCCTGGCTTAAGTGAGTGCAGGTGGGGAATTGTGCTATCTACTTTGACCCAACTGTACAACAAATGACTGATCAAAGGTTCAAGAACAAACCAAACAAGATCAGGTTGGCGCCGCGTCTGCCTTAAGGGGAGGGGGCTGAGGGGGGAGCCAAATTCCCTCACACTCGCAGTAAAGCATACAAACACAACAACAGGAAAATGGAACCGAAAGGGGCTCAGTCCCTTCTCAAATCAGGCGGTGTAAAAGTAACAAACACGCAAGTTCCATTTTGGCGTTGGGGGGAAATCGCACAACTGCAGCCATCCTGCCACAGTTTTCTAGAAGCGGCTTGCGCCCTTCCGTGCTTGTTGGTAGGGCATTCCTACCACCAAAATGATCATACCCAGCTACCCACCATGTGAGGAATCTCCGGCTTGGGACTGTCGTGAGCGCGCAATTGTTATATTGGGGGGTCGTCTTGGAAAGCTCTCGATTTTGAGCTTGTCTTGCCAGTTTAGGGCTGCGGCTCAATTGGGGTCTTGGATTTCGCAGGTACCGAGTCAGCCATCTCATCGAGCCCCGCCTGCATCACCTCCTCCCAGTAGCTAGGGTCATCAGAGGCATCCCGGATCTCAGACAGCAAGGCCTTCCGAATGTGCTTCTTAGTGCCGATTGCCGAGCAGAAACTTTAACTCTGTGTTCTTTCGTGGGGAAACTCAAATGTTCCAGGTTAAAGATTCAACCAGTAGCAGCCAAGTTCAACGGGCGTGTCTCTGAACAGGGTAGATAAAGCTCTTCTGAAAGAAAGGCACCCTGCAAACCAAACGAGGCACCCAACCTGGGGGGGAGGTGGCGGACTTATGACCCACCCTCCGGCCTGGGATCAAAAAATCACCGTAGCGGTCCCTTCGTTTCTTTTTTGGTATGGCCATTCAAACCCGCTCGTCAAACACATGCAGCAGCATGTCGACCCATTGGGTAGTTTGCTCAATAGCTAAAAACACATGGTGGGTTTCTGTTGGTCCTCCATTTCACCCTAACAGGGTGCCCTCAAAAAACGCACCCGCATGCTACACGGCTTCCTTGCCTGTTTAGCATGTTCTTAGTTCGGCCGGCGCCTAATGGCGATCCCGGATTCACAAACCAGAAAGCGAAAATAAATGATTCCCCTATTAATAAGCTGGGGTTGACTAATCCGAGACTAGCAATCAGGTGCTGATTAATTCGTAAGATCCTGAAACTCATACTTGGAGATGGTATAAGATACCTTTCTGGGTGACACACATGGCTCTAACATGCCCAAACTGTGCACAACTCGCACACCCAGGAAGCGAAACACCTCCAAAAGCATACCGCTGCCCAGTTGCCCAGTGACACGAAAGCCACAAAAGGGAACCCTGTTCGGGATTGACCGTTGCAGTGCGCAACCCACCAAACAAAAAAAAGGAAATAGGGTTCCCTCGGAGCAATTGGTCACCATGTCTCCCCTTCACAAGCAAGAGGCGCGCTTCCGTCACAGCAAAAATCCGGCCTGAACACTTACTGTCAACAACGTAGCTACGACCTCTTCTTCAGAAGTGCCTTGTCTGTCCTCAGCCAGAGCCTCAAAACCTCATCTATCGCCAAGCGAAAGGAAGTGCGAGTTGCTTGCTGAATACAAATGAAACACGTCAGTGTTGGAAATTACAACTTCTGTGATACTGAAGTTGGGCTGTCCACAATATGACTGCGTCGGCATCAGGGCCCTGCCCGTCCCAAACAAGCCTAAGTCTGAACTTTACCCTGGTTCTGCAGAAGGCCCCTCCCATGTTGGGTGCCTTCCAATCAGGGTGGATAATTACATCCAACAGCTAAAATGGTTGACTGGCCCTAGCTGGCATCCTGTTTTGCAGGGAACCAAAAGCTTGGCCCACAGCAAATAAGATGCTCTAATTGTGCTTCAAATTTAGTCCACCTAACACAGGGCTCTTCTTGCTGACTAAGATAAACTTCCCGGCATTTTCCTTTTGGGCACATCAAGCACCACTGAAGTCTGCCTTGTGCTTCAAACAACTGGAAGCCCTGACCTAAGATATCTTTGTGGGACTTGGGGAGCCCCGAAAAAATGTGGGGGGCTCCGTTTCCGCGCAATTCGGGCGCTTCGAGACACCCTCGCGCCTTCAACTCTGCGGCTGCGATGATGTTCTCCGACCCAGAGCTCCGCCAAAGGTCTAAGACCTGCGGCGCCCATGTGATGGCCATGTGCTGCCGGAAAGCCCATGGGGGAAACCACCTAACTGGTGGACTGTATACAGTAGCTTTGCCGAACTTTGATCCTTTCTCCTAAGCCTGATTTGAGGGATCGGCTTTTCGCTGGAATGACCCCTGAGTGGTGAGGCCGCCAGAAAATCGGCAGCGCAGTGGCTTTGTAACAGGACGCAAGTCTCCGGATCAGACAACAGCTGCAACGGACTTGAGAGAAGCTCCGATTGAGCACCCAGATTGCACCCAACACCATATTCCCCTGACACGTCCAAAAAGGGATCCAATTCCCAAGAAGATTCCTCTACAAATGGCCGCTTTGGGGGTGTCACGTCAATCTGCACAAAGCAGCCTCACAATGATAGGAAACATGTGAGAGAGCTATAGGATCACCGTTACCAGCTGATGTAAAGGATCCCCTTTGCTTTGGATGCATCCTTCAAGGCACCCTGATTTCACCGAGCAGTAGAACCCACGCCTGAAATAGACAACTCGCGAGGCTTGGAGCGTGCAGTTGAGCTCGCCAACTTCGCAGCTGCGTTCAGTAGATGCGGGCTTTGTGTACCCAACGTTTACATATTTCAAAAGGCGGACATCCGAAACTGTTTCTGTGATTCTGGCAAAGAAGCTATCAGTTGTTTAAGGATCCACTCGTGTTAACACAACCTCCTCTTGGTTAAGTTTATCCGATTGAACCCTGCCTTAGAAACCATTGACCCTAGTTGCGGGAAATAGCATTTCTGATGCCAAGAAGAGTCATATGACTACTTCGTCTCTTAAAAGGAGGTTTTCTTAAGTCGCAACAACCTTTCCGGACCTAGGCCTTGGCTGTCGCTCGGGCGAATTTTACGAGGCCGCCGCTCCATCTCGAAAACGGCGCATGCCGCGGATGGTATCCTTGGCATTGCACCAAATGCGCTCTGATTCTTCAACCAAGTATATCTTCCAAGGACAAAAGGGGCCCCTTAGCTCACTTCATAGGCGGATTGACAGGATTCAACAAGAACCGTACTTTTTGTTGGCAAATCAAACGCTATTTGTTCAATCAATCTAAAGTCCAAAAGCAGGGGACGTGAGTTGACCCCCTTAAAGTCACTAGAGTGGACAAGTCCCTGCAAACGATCTTT